TGGCAAGTCATGATGGGGAGAGCAGGATACAGCAGTTGGAGAACGCTCTTCTTCCCTCTGACTGTCCAAGGAGTGACCTACCCAGACTGGCACCATGTGCCATAGAAACCACAGGGACACAGAAACCTGTATACCTGGTGAATTATGATACATTACTGACCGGTAATGTTTCATGTTAGTAAGCAAAATGCTTCTTAATTTTAAGTAACCTGAGACTTTGCATATTTGTAAATTACAGGAAGAATGGTTTTTAATGTTATTGCCCAGCAACTCTTGCTGCTTGAGGCTGGTTTTCATGAGGATAGTCTCGACTCGGCCGTTGTGTTACTTGGCGTGGTGGGGTTTGGTGTTCTGATGGAATGCTGATACATGCTGCTTCTCTTGCAATCAGAAGATTAACAGTTTATGCTCCCAAGCTGACGTTTTCCTGACCTCTCTAGCATTATGCTGTGTATAGCCCATGTACTGAACGGAGGCAGCCGGGTGAAAGCCATGGCAAAGCAGGAACATGTGGTATATAAATAAAAACTGCTGAGTTGAATTATTTGGACTCTGGTGGCTTTTTGAAGGCCTAGTCAAGGTTTTGGCTGGCTTTCCAGGGAAGTCAGGGAATCGCCTTCCTCCCTGGGCTTCCTCTGGCAGTCTTGGATCTCCATACGCAGTCTGGTGGCTTGGATGTATTGATGGGCTTGGTAACTGATGCAGTGTCACAGGGCCAAAAATCAAAGCTCCAAACTGCTGTAGCAAATCCCTGCACATCCAGTGGTGTTCAGGGGGCGTTGCTGAGGTTGGCTCCCTGCACGAGGGAGGCAGCAGTGTGCTGGCATGTTCCGCTATGAGAACCACAGTGGTGCTGGATGTCTCAGGAATGACACATTCCTCATTACTCTGGAATAAATAGTATGGGCTGTGCTTGAGTTCCAACGGGCAGTTCCACAGCACAGCCTGGAAAGAAGACGTATTTCATCTGGTTATAGCACATCTGTGTCAGATGTTGAGCATGATAACACACTAACATGTCAAGACTTTGCTCTAAAGCTCTGTTATGAACTGGGGAGGAAATGCAATAGGAGTATCAAGGCTCACATTCCTGTGTAAGAATCTTCCCCTCCCACCTGCTATCTCACAGCACAGCGTGTTCTTCCCTGAGCTGCTAAATGTGGTCTTTAATCAGATGTGTGTTCTTCATTTAATCCAGGGCAATGACCTTTTCTAGCTGAACGCAAGCAAGGAAGGCTCCTGGAGATAGGGCTTTGCTTCAAAACCCAAACCTGGAACCTTGCAGTCTTGAAAGGTCATTTACTGGCTGTGGGGGGGGTATCTGTGCTTCTATCAAACTGGACCAACACTGCTAAGGGAATCTGGGCAGGACAGAGGTTTGTTACCGTAACCAGGAGAGGAAGAGGTGACGGTGATTCATTTGGTCGTGATGTTAACAGCCCTTTTCTATTGCAGTGACAGTCTTGTTGGCACATGGAGCAATTTGGGAGGGTTGGTCCCTAACACAAACCAAAACTATCCCCCCAAACTGCTCCCAACGGAGGTCCAGTTCCGAGCTCTCATTCTCCCATCCAAGGCTTCTGCATGAGCGAACTGGAGCATCCTCTGTGTTGTGTAAGTACCCCTTTCCCATCCTGTTGGACCTCTCAGCTGTGGTGCCCAGGGGAAGGCTGCTCAGAACCATCACTGATGGGTGGTTTGTTCCCCCTGCACTGAGTCAGAGGAGCTGCCCCCCTGGCCACTGTTATTGTGGAGCTGTCAGGATGCAGCCTGTGGCTTACCGCTTCCTTGGGGTGCATCGGTGGGGAGGACCTGTCGGAACCGCTGTGCACTTGGGTGGTGTTTCTTATCCATCTAAAATGGGTTAGATCTTCCTCTCGCTTCGCTGATCTCTTCGAGTTAAGGAGGTCACACACAGGCACCCTGCTGAAAGCTTCCTGTGCTTGCCCTGTCTCCATCCTGTCAGCCTTGGGCTGCCTCCTCCGAGCAGCTTTTCCTACCCCAGCACGGGGAGGAATTGCTGCTGCTCTCTTTGAAGGGAGGAGCTGGGGGGCAGAAGGCTCCTGGCAAAGAGAAGGTGATCCAAGGCTGTTCCTGTTGGGCAGTGGGGCTAACAGGGAGCTGCCTGGATGGCTGCGAGCTCTCTGAGTCTGGTGAGCCTATCCCTTCCAAGCCAAGCTGTTGGAGAGGTCACATCGCTGTGGCTGCATCCCCCCAAAAGTGAGCCAGTGTAAAGGGAACCGAGGAGGGAGGGTTTGAGTAGGGAAAACTTGGGTGTGAAAGCGAGGAGGCTGAGTGAGGGTGTTTGTAAAGAGGAATGAGGGGTCCACCCGTGTGGTCTGGGGCTAGAGAAGAGCAATCTCCTCTTTACCCTCCCAGCTGTGCCAGAAATAGATGGAAAAGGCGATGGGATACCATCCAAGGACAGGCTTTGCTCCCACTGCACAAAGAAGGGGCGAGGAGGCATGGGAAGAGCCCCACTGCAGGGCAGCTGGAATGTTCTCTAAAGCAATCCTCCAGAGAAGGAAGGAAGAAATGGGAAGCTGTGCTGTGGCAGGGGTCAGAGCCTGCTTGGTTCCCCTTGTGCCTTCCCCTGGTCAGTGACCCAGGAAGGGCCCTGGGCAGTGGATGCAGCCTCCAGCTGGGAGGGAAGTATATGGACCCAGTCAGAGATCAGTGGGATCAGACAAAAGCCATTTATTGCAAAGCCTTAACTCCTTATATACTATTGCTTACATGCACTTACAGTGATTTGCCATATTATGGTTGGATATGTGTCTTAAAGACCCTCAGGGACTAACATATAACTGGTTAAGCACAGGTGTGAGATCTTGACCTCAAAAGCTTGCCACAGTTCTCATAACTCAGTGAATTCCAGCTCCTTATCTTGCTTGCTTAAGCTTCCTCGGGCCTCTCATGGCCTTGCTGTATCTTTTGGCATTATTCAGAGTTCATGCACCAAAAACCCCTTCTCCCATGAGAACACTGTCTCCACAGGTACCCAGTGTCCATGGGGCCCCATCCGGCTCCCAGGCTCTGCCTGTGCACTTCTTCCTCCCTAAACCCCCGTTTGAACCCATCTGGTTCCCCCCCATAGGGATTTGCAGGATGTGGCCAGCTTGACTCTAACGTTTCGAGGCGCTTCCAGAGGCAGGGATCTGATCCGAGGCTCCCACACAGGCCATGGGGAAGGGGATGCTGTGTGATGGAGGCACACACATGTGCGGTGATGCCACCTTACAGGGCAGCAGGTTCAGCACCGAGCCCAGCTCGGGCTGCAGGGCTGGTTCTCCCCCTGCAGGGAGGAAGGGGTGTCCCGAGCCCAGCAGCAGCTCGGCTCTGGGTGCTTGGGAGGCACAGCCATTGCTGTGAGACAAACGGAGGAAGTGAGGAGTGCACGGAGGAAACGCTGCACCGAAGTGAGCAGAGGGTCCTGGAGGGAAGGAAAGGGCCTGCAGGGCCAGGCCAAGGGGAATGGCTTTAACCTGCCCGAGGGGAGACTGAGATGAGCTCTTAGGCAGAAGCTCTTCCCTGTGAGGGTGCTGAGGCGCTGGCACAGGGTGCCCAGAGAAGCTGTGGCTGCCCCATCCCTGGCAGTGTTCAAGGCCAGGTTGGACACAGGGGCTTGGAGCAAGCTGCTCCAGTGGAAGGGGTCCCTGCCCGTGGCAGGGGTTGGAGTTGGAGGAGCTTTAAGCTCCCTTCAACCCAAAGCAGTCTGGGATGCTCTGAAAGCAGGCGGAGGCAGGAGGCTGGGATGCGCAGTGCAGCAGTGCTCACCCTCCAGCCGTGTATTTTTCAGTTCACCTCTCACCAGCTTCCTCAATGCCTGGGGTTTAGCCCTGAACGCCCCTGTGCTCCTTCGGGCTTTGCCTGTGGAAAGCTTCCCCTGAAGGAGCTGCTCCAGGGCAGCTTCCTCTGGCTCTGCTTCCCCTGCAGCAGGATTAACCCCTCGGGGCAGTGCCGTGGGGAGCAAAGCCAGCCCTGAGAAGCACCTTCCCCATGGCCCCGCATTGCACAGAGGTGCTGGGGTAGGTGCAGAGCAAGAGGTCAGGAGCATCTGCGTGGTGTTGGCCTGGGGGAAAGGTTTCTGCAGGCGGGGAGGCAGGGATTGCTTCCCTGGGTGATGCGGTGAGGATGCTGCAGCAGGGGCTGCCTGCGCATGGGGCTGCTCGCTAGGGAGGAAGGGGTCAGTGCAGGTACCGCTGCTGCAGCTCTTCTGGATGCTCTGGTCCCTGCAGCCCGTCTGGGGCTGGGCTTTTGGTGCTGCAGGGCCCCACCAGTGTCTCGGTTGCAGGACCTGGTTTGTTTTGGTGTTTCAAAGCACCTGGCAGGAGCCAGGTCGGTGCAGGATGAGTCAGGCTGCTGCTATTTGCATTGCATCAGTTCCCTGATGGTGCTGGGTGCTGCACGGGCACGTTGGGAGGAACCATCCCTGCTTGCTGAGGAGCCTGTGCCCCGTCCCTGCACGCAGCCAGAGCCCTGGGGTGGGCACAGAGGCTGCACTCGGGGCTCTGGGGACTGTTTCCATGTGCTCTGCGTGGCAGCGGCTCCACAGCATCAGAGTCTGCGTGGTGCTGGCAACGAAACCAAAGTGGCTGCTGGCTCTCAGGGGCAGCCTCTGCAAGGGGCTTTGTTCCCCCTTTACCTGTCACTGTTGGGGGGGTCCCTCAGTGCCAGACACTTGTGGGGTCACTTACACTGAAGGTGGAGGTGGCTGAGGGCAGCTCAGGACCACGCGGGGCTGGTGAGGCACATCCTGAGCAGTGGGAACTGCTCCCCTCGGCAGCCCCGCTCCGTGTGCAGGGAGCACTTCCCTGAGTGAATCAGTGCTGGGGCCGCATCCCCTCCCACGTCACCCAGAGCTCATCGGGGCACCCCTGCCCCTGGGAGCAGCAGCACCGGGCTCTGTGCCCATCCCAGCCAGGCAAGCAGCACCCAGCACAACCCAGTGGGAAGCGGGCACCTGTATTTCACAGCAGTGGGAGGATGGAGCGGGGGGAACCAGGGCTTGGGCACAGGGTGGCCCCATCGCTCCTGCACCTTGCATGGGAGCCCAAGGCCTATTCTGGCATTATGGAGGGCTCAGCACCGTCCTCCAACCCCAGCTCCATCCTGGTCCTCCCATGGAGCAGCATCCCTGGCTGAGCCCCTCTCCAGGGACGAGGGTCCCTCGGCTGCCCCAGTTCCCACCTTGGGCTGTTGCAAGGAGCCAGCTGAGAGTTACAACACGTGCATGGAGCCGCTGACGGAGGGGCCTGATCCGGCCAACGAGGAAGTAAATGGGGCAGCGCCTGTGTTTTGCAATCCTTGTGTGGCCCCACCACCGCCAGCTTGCGCACGGTGACGGGGAGCTGGCTCTGCCCTCCCTCCTTGCCTGTGGAGGCTCCCAACAAGTTGCAGCGGATCAGGATGATGCTCGCCGTTGGGTTCCGCCACAGCCAGCCCTGGGGTAGCCCCATGGGAGCCGCTCACCCTCCTCTGCCTCCAGGCTGCTTCCTGCTGCAGTTCTGAATGGGCAGGACCAGGCAGGGCCTGGCTGGCACTGAGGGATGGAAGGCATGTACGGGGACACGTATGGCAACAGAAGCTGGACCGCGCCGGGCAGGGAGGGATGTGCTGCTCCTTCCCCTCTCCTGCCACCCTGCTCCCACCTTCATGGCCCATCACGGAGCCGCTGGTCCCAGGAGCCTGGCTGGGGCTGGTCCCGGCTGCCAGGGTGGCTCCAGCCATCGGCCTCCTTTAACAGAGCAGAAGGGTGAGAAGGGAAGCGCTGACCGGAGCCGTGCGAGTGCAGGAGCACGGCCCCATCTCCTCCCAGTACCTCCAAGTGCCCGCATGGAGCTGGAGGCTTCCCCATGGCAGAGCTGGGAGCCCCATTGCCAGCTCCGGTGCAGGACCCCCTCTCCCACCACCTTTCCCCTGCTCTACCTGGGGGCTCTCTCCCTTGCTCCCACTGGCATTGGGCTCCTCCGCATCCCCCAGCAGCTCGGGGCCGTCACCGCTGCCCCACCGCAGCACCCGCTCCTGCAGCTGGGACAGGGAGTGAGGGTCCAGGGTGCTGCAGGGACCATGGGGGGGCTCCGGGGGTCCCGCAGGGCACTCACCCGCTGGCGCAGCCCCTGCTGCTCCCGCAGCAGCTCCAGGAACCGGCTGCTCCACAGCAGCTTCTCAGCGCCCAGCTCGGTGCAGAGGAAGCGGACGTCGGCCTCCAGCGCCTCCAGCCTCTCCAGCACGGCCTCGCCAGCATCACCGCGCCCTGGGACCGCAGCTCAGCACCCACCAGCACCCCAATGGCACCCACCTGCTCCAGGGACCCACCTGCCTGCCCCGGCTCCAGCGCAGCACTGAGGTCCCCGTCCTCCTCCTCCTCCTCCTCGCTGCCACTTTCCAGCCTCAACCTCAGCGCCGCGCAGAGCTGGAAGCCACCATGGACAGCAGGGACTGATGGCAGCGGACCCCATGGCCCTGGCACTGACCATGACTGGGAACGTGGCTGTGCCATGCCTTGGGGACCTGCAGCCCTGCTGGTGCCACCCAACGCCACGGCACCGGGCTCGGATGTGGCCCAGGGAGCATCCCCATGGAGTTACCTCCTCGGTGCCCTGGAAGGCGATGTCCCAGCAGCTCTTGTAGAAGACCAGCAGGTACTGGGGGAGTGGGTGGTGGGTCCATGGTGAGCAAACCCGCCTCATGCAGTGTGCCCAGGGCTCTTGGTGGGCAGAGCCCTGCAGTGCCAAGAGCCAAGCCCCAAGGGTTCCCGATCCCCCAACTGGCCACAACCCCCAGCACCCCATGCGATGCACCCATGCCCACACCGTGCCCGGAGCCAACACAGCTGTGTGCCAGCCCCTGGGGAAGAGGGGCCCCATGGTACTGACCCACGCCAGCCTCCGGAGCCACTGCAGCCCCTGGAGCGCTGTCCCAGACAGCAACAGGAGCCACCGGCACCCAGCACGAAGGAGCTGCCTCCACCTCGGCGCTGCTGCACCGCGCTGCCTGCCCATGGGGGCCCTGCAGAGCAGGAGATGGAGAGGGGCTGGCCCGGTGCCCCAGGATGCTCACCCACCGTGCAGGGATGAATGGAGAGCTCCAGGGCACAGCACCACACGCTGGTGTCCAGCAAGGCTCCTGAAAGGGAGGCCAAGAGTTTCCAGGACCAGATTCCAGCACTTGGGATGTGGGATTTGGGCTCAGCAGGAAATCCTGCACCCCCTGCCCAGCTCTGCCCCCTTACCTGCGCTGCACCACGCACGGACCCCTCCTGGACACGGCTCCTGCTGCCTCGGGGCTGGGCTCCATGAACTGCGTAATCCTCTTGGTGATGAGACTGGGCAGGGGATTAGTGCTGCTCCTGCTCTGCCTTTGGTGGCCATAAGGACAGGCGCTGTTCAGTCACTCCTCATCTGCTCTGCAAGCAAAGCACTTGTGATTTAAACTGCTTTTAGCTTTCATTGAGAGCTCGCCCTCACTCCTGTGTCCAAAGCCAGGCATCGCCTATGCTGGAGAGCCTTAGTTTTGTTGTTTAGGAGGAAAAACGGAGATCTTGAGACATAAAATGGAAGGTTTAGGCAAAACTGCCAGAGCCAGGCTCCAGCACCCACCTCGGGGCACTCGTGTAGGTGATGGTGCTTGTTCCCAAGGTGGTCAGAGCCCCTCTCCCTGCCTTACTGTGATACCAGTGCTGCAGAGCTGGGGCTGTGCTGGGACAGAGGCTGCTCCCTCTGCTGGGACAGCCCTCACGGGTCCTGCAGCCTCTTAATCTCACCCATCTCGTAGCCCCCAAAGGGCCCGGGTGCGAATAGCTGCGGTGAAGCACACGTTTGCCATTGCCATCAACGCACTGGCTCCCCCCGCTGCTGCCCCCAGACACGGTCCCCATCGGAACAGGCTGTCCCAGTCCTTCAGTGACAGACACGGCTCCATCCCGCAGCAGCCCCGGTGTGTGTCACAGGGAGCACGGAGCTGATGGGCCCCAGCACACCCACGCCTGCACACGCAGGACTCGCTCAACCCCAAGCTGGGCGAGCCCTTTGCTGTTCCTCTGCAGGTCAATGGGCTGGCCTGAAAGGCAAGAGCAGCTTTCCTCCAGCTCAGAGCTGCTTTGGCCCCTCTGAAGTTCAGGCGTTCCTGTGATCCTTGCTTTGGAGCAGCAGCAGGAGGAGGATTAAAACTGCTTCTGTATCAAAGCCAAGTAATCCAAACCCATCGCCTGCGACGCCTTCTTTCCAGAGCTATGGAAAAAAAACGAGGCCTTGCAGGGGTTTGTGCTTTCTTGGATCTTCCACCCCCTTGTATTTAACCTCTGCTGCTTCAAGCACAAAGTAGGCCAGCTTTGCAGCTTGCCTGTTAAGCTGTTACACCCCCACAGATAAGCAGCTGCCAGCCCCTGAGAGCAGAGCACCAGCCCCAGGATAAACCAGCTCCCACTGAGAACAAATACGGAGCTGCCTTGATCCCGGAGCCAGACAATGGGAGAGCTTTGCTCCTGTCCATTCACCTTCGCCCTTAGGTTCTGCTCTGACTGGGATGCCCAGAGGGACCCCAAAAAGACCCAGGACACCCGGAAAGTGATAACTGCTCCCATGGCACCCCCTCCATCAGCAGAGTTGAAGTAGACACAGCTGCATTACAGCACCTTACCACCTGCAAAGCCGACTTCAGCATCAGCACTGGCATCTTGACCTGGCTACTGTGAAAAGCACCCACCCCTCATCCCTCTGTGTGCTCTTCCAGTGGCACCCCACGCTGCTCAGCCCTTATCTGCAGGCATTCTGCCAGTACCAGCAAGAACTGACTGAGAGCCCAGTCCTACCTTGCAGCAGGCTTAGCTGAACACAGCTGGAGATTAGTGCCTGGCAATCCTTGCAAGCACTCCCTGTTATGTCTACCAGAGGAAAGCAAGCACAAAGGAAACCTCCTCACGGTCACGAGACAAGGAGCAGCTACTGTGTGCAAGTGGAAGAATTCAGCAAAGTCCTCATGGAGCAGATGGAGAACAAAAAGCACCAGGAGTCAGGTTTTGGACTGAACAAACCGTGAGAAGAGAGACAAACATGTACCTTTTATTGTTTATGTACAAATGACATCGGTTTGTATTAAAAAGAGAATCCACCCGATCTCAAAGAGACAGCTTCAAGCTCCAGCCTTCCCTGCATCTAAAAGCACTGTGTAGATTTTAGGAGATGGTGTTTAAAATGAAAGAGAAAATGGTTAACCACCTTCTTCTCTGCCTGACAAAGAACCAAAAGGAGCTGTTCCTGCCACTCTACATCGATTAAACCAAAGAAACCAAAAGTCCATTTGTTAACTATACACGTGGCTGTAAAAAAAATACCCCCACAACAGAACCAACAAAACCAAAACTACAAAGCTAAGTATCAGCAACAAAAGTAATCTAAGTCTTAGCAACATGGATGGGCCACACTGAATCACAGCCCACTTCCAGTGGAAAAAGAAATACCTCTCCGTGGGTTTGCAGATGACAGGGGTGGCAGCAGCAACAACATCAGCCCGTTCTAGGAAGTTCCCAACTGAGGTGGAAGCACAGAATGGCCAGGAATTCAGGACTACCACTGCTACTACACCTTAGTCTTCCTGCAACTCAGGTGATGTATAAATGATGCAAAGTACATGGTCCAAGATTTCCTCCCCCCATCTAAGTTCTTTAGAGTGAGCCACTCCCATCTGCAGACACTTGGCCAGGGAGCTGCCATCATGCTCATTCAGTCGACTGGCATTTTCTCAGTGGGGATTCACGCAGACCTAAATCCCAGAAGCATCAGCACTGATGAGTCTAGTAGTCCTGCAGAGAAAGGAAAGGGTGGGCACATTAACACCTTTCTACCTTCAGTTCTGCTCGCAGAGCTGGGATTCTCAGTCTTCTCTCATTTCTACACACCATTAGTTGCAGGCAAAACATGTAGCTAAACATTCAAAAGAAAGGACCCTTCAAAACCTTAGTTCAAGAACACAGCAGCTCAAACCAGATGCTTCTAATGTTCCAGATCATGACAAGGCAACAGGACGCAAAACAGTTTTCTGCATGAGAAGTGCACAGGATTAACTGGGACCTGGCTTCATAACAAGCCTACCTGGGCTTATTTACTGTTACATCCACAAGACAATGCTTAGCTCATACCGTGATTCTCCTCAACCATGAAAATAAGGTCTTAAATTACAGCAGAGGGAGGCTTTTTAAGATTAGGAGTCAGTCAACCACTCAAGTCTACAGATGAGCAATGAAAACAATGACAGAGCACTGATACTTACGGCTCTTGGCTTTTTGTTTAACTTGAGATCAATCCTGTGGTTGGAAAGATAAGAGAAATGTCCATTTCAATACATTAAACCAACACTAGCGTTCAAAGAACCAGCTACTGCATATGGCACAGGCTACAACAAAGACTATTTGGTTAATTCAATCCACATTCTCAATTGGGCTGAGCCAAATCACTGTCCCAGTATTACTGGACAAGAGAACAGCAAAGAGACAGAGAGTGGATTCTTTCTTATTTGCCAAAATGCATATTGTGTCCACTCAAAACAGGAGTTAATACAAGGTTCATAACCAAAATCACAGGGAAGTTATGCAGCATAAAGAAATGAGGTTAAACACGCATGCTCTATGTTAATTTGTTAGATGTGTAACTATGCCACAGGTAATTATTCAGACATAGTGGTAATGGTTATTTACTTGGGATACAGATAGGAGTTTAGGATGAGCAGGGATTATATGAGTCAAAGGGATGGAGTTTGATTACATTTTTCCAGAAGGAAATATCCAATCTACACTCATCTCCTTCAGAAGCAAAGCCGGAAGAATCAGGTTTTAAACTACGGGTTTAAGTTAAAAAGTTTGCTCTATTTTAAGTAAAAAAAAATGAAATAGAAAAGTAAAGGAGAGTGAAGTTAATTGAATTTTGCTGAAGTTATTAAATAAAATGTTACCTCCATCACGTTTTTCTGTTTTTAAAAAAAACTTCCCAGCCTAACCTAATATACATACCTACAATTAAACAGATAAACTATGGGTTAGAAAGGTCTCAAAAGGCACATTGGTGTCTACACACTAACAACACAGCACAAGTACTAATTCAAGTCAAACTTACTCAAAGTCATAATCAAACATGCCAGACGGGCTGAGGGGCAGCATTTGAAAGGAAGAAAGCAATAGAAATTAATATACTAATGAATTAAATAAATTAGTTGATTAGCCACCCTAGCAAGATTACTAAAAAAAATCAAAGGAAATAAAAGAAATAATAAAGCCACTGTTCAAATGCCATCAAGTTCTTTCTTAAGATCTCTTAACCCAACTCGGGCACAAAAAGCACTCCGGATGTGGCAGTCAAGTCCCCCTCCCCAACTGGATTTCTGGGTAACAGAGGTGTTAGAACAGAGGCAGAGTGGGTTTAGGGAGGGGATTTTAGGTGCTGAAAACGGAGCTATCATCAGACCCTCGGGAGTGCCCACTAGCTCAGAGAGAGGAAAACTGATTCGCCTGCAAAACCAAACGAGGGGGGGGTCAGAGAGCAGAGGCTTTGTCTAGATTATTACAGCAAAGCAAAGCTGGTTCAGGCAGAGCTGGAGACACAGAACTAAGTGGCTGACTTGGCATTTGAAGAGCCTCACAATGCACTCGCACACACACATCCTCTTGCACTCGCTTCCTTTCCAGAGCTAAAAAGAGAACAGGGTCATTTGGCCAAGGCTAGTGACAGGCTGGTGACACTCCCACCCCTCGCCTCAGCATTCACACCATACCACAGCGCCGTCCCTAGGAGCAGTCCTGCCCCAGAGCCAACAGCTGTGGGTGTTGGAAAGGGCTGCTCCACAAATCGGCTCTAACTCGGGAGCTCTTCAGCACGGGCTTTCTAAGAGCAGTATTGTTTTCTCCTGAAACACTTTTTAGGCATGAAAATTGCTGAGCCCATAGAAAATAACCATCCTGGCCTTCCTCTGGGCTCACAGGGAACAGAGGACTTCAGTAAAGACACTGCAACTTCCATCTGATTCACTGTTGGGAGCTGACCTGCCTATTCACACCAGTTCTGTCCAGTCTGAATCCCATTCCCAACAGCCCTCTAAGAGGCGTACAAAGCAGAACACCCAGTGCACTCAATGCGCCTTCAGGTCCCAACTCCTCCCCGTGCTCCAGGACCAGGAGAGCAGAACGCTGGCAGGGTGCTGGCAAACACAAGAGCTTCTGATCAAAAAGAAAAGCCACTCTTTCTCTGGATTCTAATCTTTTTCATTCTATGGCACTCAAGAAACAGACCCGTGAGTCCCTTCCGACAGCACTCAGGGCTGCAATGCATTTTAAAGCACATAGCTCTATTATTAGTAGACCAGGACTGCTTTGTCCTTGGGGTTTTTTAACCCAGATATAAAGTGGTCTTTTCTGCCAAAATTTAGGGGATAGTAACAGTAATCGCAATTTTAACAAGAGTTTTTGTTACAAACTTAAATTATCTTAGTTTAATTCTCTATCTGCCCATGTTAAGCATTACAAAACAGTCAATCACTACCTAAGCCTTTCTGTAACGTGGATGTGTTTGATGTACCTCTTAGGAGGATAAGAACTGCCATAGCAGATCAGACCAGGGCTCTTCACGTCCAGCACTGTCCCCGCCAGTACCCAGCACCAGCTGCTTCAGGGGAAGGAATGGAGAAGAACCCCCAAAGCAACAGAACCTGTCAGTAGGGCAGATTCTTGCTAACTCCTGTCCCTAAAGTTCAGGTTATGCAATGGAGCAAAAGTATTATTTACAGCATCTGGATTGCACCCCACTGTGTGTGCAGAGGATGGGTTTGCTGGCCAGGTGAGTGCTTTTAGAGGAGCATTTTGTAACTCATTTGAAATAGCAGTTTTCCTGAGCTGTACTTGAGGTTTACAGGGTGTTTCTCTGAACTTATTCACAGATGGAGTTTCTTGTGTCTTTCCAATTGTCTAGAGGCAATAAAAGAGTTTTGAGCTGCTTTAGACTCGTGAGGAACCCAAGGGACACCTAGTACTTCAGGAGGTTTGCCCAATTAAGACTGCTGTAAGAAGCAAATTCTGATCTAAGAATTAAAGACACACTAATGCCCCAAAACCTAATGAAAGAGAAAAAGCAGTTAACCGCTTCTCAAGCACTATACCTGCCTCTGCATCTCCCACTCCAACCTTCCCCCAGCAACTCTGGACATTTTAACCACTGCTCTTTAAAACATCTCTCCCTTGTAACTCATAAGAAGTTCCCTTAAAGAGAAAAGCCCATCCAAAGCCAAGCTCTGCACTTACTGCATTTCTGCAGTAAATGCCTCCTCTTTCCAAGAGCATGGATCTCCATGTTTCCTCCCTTAGGACCTGACTCCTGGCTTTAAGTGACAGAGGGGAGACTGAGATGAGCTCTTAGGCAGAAGCTCTTCCCTGGGAGGGTGCTGAGGCGCTGGCACAGGGTGCCCAGAGAAGCTGTGGCTGCCCCATCCCTGGCAGTGTTCAAGGCCAGGTTGGACACAGGGGCTTGGAGCAAGCTGCCCTAGTGATGAGCTTTAAGGCTCCTTTCAACCCAAACCAGTCTGGGATTCTATGGTCCAGCAGCAGGTTATGTTGGCCCATAGAGAGCAGCGCTGTGAGGCATGGAGTGTGAGCCATCAGCCTGCCACACTGCATCATGCTTTAAGGGGTTTACGGGTCAGAACCATTCACCTAAATCCAGCCATAAAGAGTTCAGGAAATCTTTGTTTCACATGGATTTCAGGTCAGCTTAACAATAAACACTTTAACGTAGCAAAGCAACTCTTCTATGCCATGATCAAGAGACTCAGTTTGGTATATGACAGCTAAAAGGGCTTGGAATAGGAATCTTAGTGAAGGTACTGGAAGTGCCAACAACCCCCAGAACATTTAGATTCGCTTTTCCATTTCACCCCCCCTTCTCCAAAGAAAGCACTGACATTCCCATCTCACTTGGTCCTGCAGAAACCAGTAAGCAAGCACAGGAGGCCAGGACTGCCATCCTCCTCTGCTGGGAGGCAAAGAGCTTTATTCTCCTGGACAGACAGGAGACTTGAGAAAGCCTGCTCAAAAGTATGGCTAGACCAGAGCTGGAGTCAGCGCCCTGTGCTGCTGCTTTAACTTCTTCATGTTTTCCCCTCCTTGATACAACAAGGGGCTGATAAACACTACGGGACAGGTATAACTCAAAACCAGAAAGGTTACTGACACAAATAACCCCAGCTGCTTGTTATTCTAACGAGTTACTGGTTCTTTTCACATCACACCAACCCAGGAGCAGCTAACCGCGCAGAAGGCATGGCGAGCAGGCTGCCGGTACCACTAACCTGTGTCGATTTTTGTTCTTCCGCTTTTTGTGGCTGCTGTGGTGGCTCCCCGAAGAAGTAGAAGAAGCAGCTTTCTGGGGTTTCACCCCCTGCACTGAACCATCCAGCTCCTCAGCATCCTCCTGGTTGGGTTCGTTCTCCTGATTGTGAAAGTCTGGAGAAGTGTCGCTCTCCGTGCCGCTGCCCGGCTCCCCTAGAGCAGGACAAGCACAGGTGAGCACAAGTTACCTCCCTGCAGAGCACAGCGCACGGGCAGCAGAGCCTAAGCCTTACAGCATCAGGAGGTAAATAAGAGAACCTGAAACATCCCCTAAGGCCAGCAGCTACCTCCGCAGCAAGCGGCACACGCCAGAAACGTACTTGGGTTGGTATCAATTACAACCCCATTTTTAAACGTCCTGAAGGTATGTGGCTCTCCACATGTCCCTCTGACTGACAACACACACCAAGGCGTTGCTTCAGCTCTTTCAGCCTCTTTCTCCAAAGAGCACCAACCCCACTGAAATGAGTTTAATGCACAATGAACTCTTGTTGAGCATCAAAGTTTACTCGAGAAAGGAAACAACTTTACTTGTGCCTCACAGGGCGCTGGGTGGGAACACTCAGGATGGAGGCTGTACTCACACAGGGAGCAGTGAGTACAGCCCGGGTCCAGGCAGCTGGAGACAGAAGCATCATTCCTTCCAAATCCTGAGAGAAAGGAAAAAGCCACTTACGCTTCTCAATGAGCTGGTCCTGAACTCCAGCTAACGCACTGACCGCCTAGGAAAGCAGAAGGGGTGTTAATGGGAGCAGCAACTCACCACTTCTCAAATGTTCAAAAGCACAGAGATTACCTCACAAGGACACATCAGGCTTTGGCCTGAGAGCTCACAACCCAGCACCAGCACAGGAGATGGGGGATAGGTGCAAGAAGATAAGGACACGATGGCAGTGCCAAGCGTGTGGTGCGGGTGGGTCCCTTCCACCTCTCTGGGTACTAAATGGGAAGAGGGCTCTGAAAGAGGCTGCTACACGGGATGAAGATGCTGGGGTTGGGGGAGAGGAGCTTAAACGGAGAAGTGGTCCTGCAGCAGCCTCTGGGACCAGAGCACCGAGGAGCACCAAGGGATGAAGATGGGGAGCGGGTTGTGTGCTCAGCCCGCCGGGGTCCGGCCCGGCTCTCACCGCTGCCGAGGTGACCGAGGACTTGCTGAAGAGCCGCTCCGCCTCCTTGAACTTGCGGTTCCTCCGGTCGTTCTTGCTGTTGGAGTTCCTGAAAGGGGGCAGAACGGGCATGGAGGGGGCACGGAGGGGGCCCGGCTCTGCCTCCCTCCCTCCCTCCCTCCGTCCCTCACTCACTTCTGGTTGGTGAGGTAGCGGTCCCAGCCGCGGATGATGTTCCCGTACATCTGCGTGTCCTCCAGGTAGCTGCCCTCGAAGGCGTAGATCTGCCGCTCCAGGTTGGCCAGCGTCTCCTGCCGGGCACAGCGCAGCGCATGCAGCAGGCCCGGCCCCGCGCCCGCCCCGCGGCCCAGGCCCCGCCGCCGCCGCCGCCACCACCACCCGCGGCCCCGCCGCCGCCGCTTCCCCCGCCGGTCCCCCCCCCCGTTGCTCACCGCCAGCTCCTGCTTGCGCTTCACGAGCTCCGCCAGCTCCCGGCGGGTGTCGGGGATCTGCGGGGGGCCGCCGGCCTTGGCGTGCAGCGCGGCCATGGCGGCTGCGGCCTGCGCGGGCCGGGCGGGCGGGGAGGCGGCGGCTGCGCTGCCGGGAGGGGCCGCTGGGGGCAGCACCGAGCCCCGGCCCCGCCTCCCCGCTCCGGTCCCCGCCTCCTCTCCCGGGCACCCCGAAAGGGAAGGAGGAGGCTCCCCGGCACCCAAATCATGCTTTATATGGCTCCTTAACGTACTTAGCGCCCTCCATCCCATCACCGGTTCATCTGTTTTCAAGGAACATAAAGGCAAATAAGAAGTATTAACACCTAAAAGTAATTAGGGCTAAATTTACAAATTCTTTATTTAAAAACCCCTATAGTATAATATAAAGGAGATCCTCCGAGTCAAAACTCTACCTACCATGTGAAACCCTGCAGCAGTGCCCCGTATTTACATCCCAAGTGTTCCAGCCTGTGCGTGTTAACGTGTGCAACACGTGTGCACAGCACATGAGCACAGGTCAGAGAGCCCGCGACCACGGAACAAACATCCACTGGGAGCAGCGTGGAAAATGCATGTTTCTTACAGTGTGAAGCCATGGGGTGGGGGGAAGACATCCAAAGATGCATGTACTTGAGGGAGTGGAACTGTTCATCCTCTTCTTAAAGCCTTGTTTCACGGGTTGGGGGGAGTATTTTAAACAAGTGATTTGTGTATTTTCTTTATCAAAAGAAAAATAGTGCAAACTCGGGTTGAAACAAGTCACCACATAGAAGGTCTTTGTGTAATGCGAACAAAACCAAGGAGAACCTATTTGTGGGCTGGGGTGGTGCCAGAAATAAAGGCTCCAGCCCCTAACACTTGATATCCAGCATAAGCTCAGCACCATGTGTGGGAAGACGACCCAGATCTCGGCTCCCAAACCACACGGGCAGCACCTGAAGCCCCAGGAAGACTCTGACTTCAACTTGCCTCGTGATTTTTGGGTGGTGAATTCCAGTGAAATACCCTCACAAGGCAAACCAAGTGCCCAGCGCATACCAACTTCTCCACCTCATTAGTAGCCAGCCAGGTAAATTCTCCTGTCCAGAATTCCTACCGGGCAAAGGAATTTGGCAAACTAGGGAACACGATGTGTTACAAAACTCATGGGGTTACTTTCTAACTAAGATTTCTGTTAAGGAGCATTTTCAAAGGGCTATGACAAAACAGTCAATTAAAATAATTTTAAATACACCAGCTGTGTTCCAAGTCATTTCCCAGCAGAAATGTCCTTCAACATCTGTGGAGTCCTCCCAGCATCAGAGCTTTCACATCCAGGTGCTCTTCTGCTTGTTGAGGAGGGAAAGCAAAGAAACAAGAACAAAGAGAAGCTGTATTTCCCAATACGCAGAACTATCAGAAATGAATAATCAGGGAAGTCCCCCAGAATAAACTATGAGAACAGAACAGCAACGGAAAAAGGACTTTAAGGCAATAAGAGGCATCAGTGCTGTGATGCTCCAACGCATGTTCAACTGCAATTTCTCTCTCCTGCCCCTTCCCTTTCCCTCCTCATCTGTTAACTGTCAGACTCTTCCTCCTTCTCATCGTCATCATCATCGTCCTTTGTGTTGGCCTCGGATTTATCCGAGGATTCATGGAGAAGAACATATTCCCTGCTGCTGAACCCGAACTTGAGCACATCCTTCTCCTTCAGTTCATAGTAGCGCTGCGGCTCAATCCGCTGGTTGTTCAGGAAAGTGCCATTCCCAGAGCCCAGGTCGATGATGTAGGGCCTCACTCTGCGGCCAACGGTACCATCGGCACGGGTGTACTCCACGAGCCTGGTGAAACAAAACAACACCCATTCGATCACAAGAGCCAGAAAGGAAACACGCTCCGAAAGCAGACGGGTTCCCCTGGTGCAGTTAAATACTCATCTGCACTCACAGAGACTGGAACAAGCCTGATGAAAGCAATGGGAAACTGTGAGACTGAGCAGATTCTGAGACTGCATCACCTCCTAAAACTTCTGGTGATATAATAAAGCAATTCCTACACCAGAACAGATGGCTGTGCCCTACGAGAGCATCTTTGTCTTCAGCAGCAGGCAACCCCCGCTGCTCCAGAGGAGACGGGCACACGTTGCTGTGAAAGGCCACATGGATAAAACCTCTTTCTCAAACACTTTAACTGCCAATTACACCTGCCAAATCATTCCAGTTAGGATACACATCAGCTCTGTCTAACCCTGCTGTGTCATCTGTCTTACTAAAAGGCTGCTTGTGGTTAAATAGGAGGAATTACAGATGGCTTTGATTACTGCTAGGATGATGTGCAGCAGCCAACAAAAATCCCATCTCTAATGTACTTTACAGCAAACTCGTACCTCTCAACCGTGCACAGCTTTTCTTTCTCCTTCCTGAATAATCCTGTTTCATCAGCAGGTACTTACCGGTACTGAAACACAGCATGCTGCTTCGAGCAGGAGGGGTGGTCGATGGGAATATCTGCGATCCTGCGGTGCCTGCCCAGCAGATAAGCACTCTGCCTGTGAATGTACATGACTGGCAGAAACTCATCGTTTTTGAAGGGATAAAGGCGCCAGCGCTTCTTCGGAATGCGAGCTTCAGGGGGCTCGCTGTACTTGATCACCACGCCTCGGAAAGTGTTGGTGTCCTCCAGCAGCGCCCCCGACAGTTCAAAGCTTGGCTTCTCTTTCTTCACAGCAGGTTTTTCTTTAGGTTTGTTATCAGACTGCCCCAGTTCTGGTTTCTGCTCAACGCCACTGCTTTGGTTGTTTTGTCGATGCTCTCGTCTCCTCTCGTTGTAAAACTCCCTCTCTGCTTGCTGCTCACGGATGTTGTGGACATCCCTCTCTCGCTCGTGGCCACGGACTCCAGGCCGCTCATTCAGGTTCTTCCTTCTGTCTGCGTGGTCTCTGTGTCTGTCTCTGTCACCGCTCCTGTCTCTCCTGTGCTCTGGTTCTGATGGGTATCTCTGCTTTCGCTCCTCGTTTCCTCGCCGGCAGTGATCATCTCGCTCCTGGAATGAAGAATCACTTACAGCAACGCAGGCGGAACTGGCACGAAACAGCAGTGAATCTACCTCAGCTTTTAAGCAAATCACAATCCTACACATGGAAAACATACACTTGGACGCTATCTGCGGATCTACCGCTACATGAGAGAAACTGCCTTCCGTGCCAAGCAATCTAGATTCCCACAGTTCACACCAAAGAGAGATCAAGCAACCGTGCAATGCATCATCTGCACTGGGCAAAGGACCTCGCAGAAGTGGCTTGCATGAGGACACAGGCTGGGTTCATGCACACGTGTGAACTTCTGGCAAAGCCTGGGGTGGGCAGCAAGAGCTCTTAAACTGCCAGGACCCTCCTCCTGATGCTGCACACTACAAGGACTCGTGGAACGTAACTGCCAGCTGAGAAGTCGTTTTGGAGCACGCTGCTCTAGTGGAAGGTGTCCCTGTTTGGGGCAAGGGGTTGGAACTGGTTGAGCTTTAAGGCCCCTTCCAACCCAAACCAGGCTGGGATGCTGTAATGCGTACCTCTCACGGCCGAGTCCCACAGGAACCGCTGTCGGACAGAGTCCCGAAGCGCGCAAGGCCCCCGCTAACACCTCCGCGGGCAGGACCGGGCCTCGGTGCTACCGACAATGCCAATTACCTGCTTCACCTTCACGGCAGCGTGGTGCGGGCTGCGGCTCCTCCTGCCGCGCGGGGACCGGCTCCTCCGCCCGGACTTGCTCTTCCTCTTGGGCGACCTTTAAAGCAACGAGCGCAAGAATGAGGAGCGAAGCCCGGCCGGGCGGCGCGCAAGGCCCTCAGCCACCGGGCCCGGCCCTACCTGCTGCTCCTGCCCTGGCGCGGCCCGGCCGGGCCCCGCCGCTCCTCGGCCGGCGGAGATTGGCTGCCCCGCGCCGAGCGGGAGGCGGAGCGCCGGGGGCTCCGCTTCTCGGCCTTCACCGCCACGTCCCGGCGCCTCCGCTCCCGCCGCCGTTCGCCCTCCGCCTCCATGGCGCCGCCGGCAGCCACACAGCGAAGCGCGCCCCGCTTCCGGTGCTCGGAAGCACTTCCGCCTCGCGCCGCACCGCCCTCAGGCACTTCTGCGCCTGCGCACAACCGCGTTCAACCGCGCAGGCGCTCCTCGCGCAGCGCCGTTGCCATAGCGACAGCAGCATCCGAGGCCGCCATGATGCCGCCGCCGGACTCGCTGCTGCGGTACAACCCGCCGCTGCTCGTCCGCCGCCGCACGGAGAAGCGCTCCCCCGGGGTGAGCGGGACCGGGCCGCCCGAGAGCCCCGCCCCGCCCCGCCCTTGCCTACCGCGCTCTGCTTTCTCCGCAGGCCCCCCCGCTGCAGGCGACACCCTCGGCGCCGCCCGCCCCGACGGGGCCCGTCCCGCTGCCCAGCACGGCCGCCGAGCCCGGGAAGCAGACGCGGGAGCTCCTCAACGCCATCCTGCCGCCGCGGTGAGCGGAGCCGGGCTCCCCCCCTCCCTCCACACAGTGCCTGGCAGCGCCCGGCGTGGCCGGTAACAGCCCGTGCTTCTCCTGGCAGGGAATGGACGGAGGACAACACGCTGTGGGTGCAGGAGGTGTCCAGCACGCCCAGCACCCGCCTGGACGTCGTTCACCTGCAGGAGCAGCTGGACCTGCGGCTGCAGCAGAGGCAGGCACGGGAGACCGGCATCTGCCCCGTGCGCAGGGAGCTCTACTCGCAGTGCTTCGGTCAGTGCCCCCCCTGCAGCTCCCACAGCCGCTATGCTCCTCCTCCAAGGAGGCTTAACACAGCCCATAGGGTAGGGACCACCAAGCAGGGCACACTGCCCTTGCCTTCCTTGTCAGGGATCAGCACTTCAGCGCTTGCTGAAGCTGTCAGCTTCTCTACAGACCGTATTACTCGAAAGACATGTTGTAAAGCAGTAAAAATTGCAAACAAGCATAATAAATCCCTTAGTTGTACTTAACCCAATAGTTTTAAATAACTTGAAAGGCTGTGTAACTGTTAAAGACTTACACCCTCTGCTGACATGGTGCTGAGATTGAGCAGGACTCTTCTGGAGGCTCTTGGCTCTTCTGTAAGCTTCCCCTGCAAGAAATCATTACAGTGTTTTAGGCACTTGCTTTTACAGCTCCAGTGGATCACTATCACTGTTGTGACCACAGGTTCTATACCACCACTCTGCTTTTACATGCCAGCATACAAAAGAAAGTAACTTTACTGTCTGTACTAAACCCATGCTGCTTTTGTGGTGCAGAGAATGGGTGAAAGACAACAAAGCTCGGGGCCCCGTGTGAATCCAGGATTCCCAGATAAATGACTAACTAGACTGTGGTACCCTTGCTTTAAAGATGAACTGATCCGAGAAGTCACGATCAACTGTGCCGAGCGAGGACTGCTCCTGCTTCGGGTCAGGGATGAAATCCAAATGACCATCGCTGCTTACCAGACGCTGTATGAGAGCAGCATTGCATTTGGCATGCGGAAGGCACTGCAAGCTGAGCACGGCAAATCTGACATGATAAAAAGAGTAAGCTGGGCTGTGAGTTTGCTGTCGCGTGGTACAGCATAGGGATAGTACATGTAAAGCTTTATATGAAACCAGTTATTTCTATTGCCACTGGATGGCAGTAAAGATCATCAGAATACTTGTTCGCTTTCCTAGGGCTTAATTGCATTGAGTAAATGATGTGCTATTATGTCTGGGACGTGATAAAGACTATACAATGCAGAGCTTTGTCCCATCTTAACTGAATGTTGATTATTAATCAACTAAACTTGAGGGATCTATACTCTTCTTCAAGATTGCAGAGCTAGAAGAGGAAAAGCGGGAGCTGGAAGCACAAGTGAGTGACCAGAAAGCTAAATGTGAAGCTATTGAAAAACGGGAAAATGAAAGGAGGCAGATAGAAGAAAAGAAACACACTGAAGAGGTGCAGGTCCTGAAAAGAACCAATCAGCAGCTGAAGGTTAGTTAAAAACAAAAAGACCATTTCAAGTAGTAATGGTAAAACTTCGCAGTTTGTAGTTAGAAAGACACAGAAATAACTTTCTCCTTATGGGTTCAGAAGTGTTACATTTATGGAGGTGTTTGCATTAATGTTCTGCTTCCTTTAAATTCTCACTGAAATGGGAAAAATAGTGTTTTCACATTCTCTGCTTCCCTGATCACTCAGTAACTGGTCACTATCAGTAAACCTGATGATGCAAACAGCAGGTGAGAATACCCAAATTCTACTCATGCACAGACGTTTGCCAGGGAGAGGGCAGAATTTGTTCAGAAAATGATGAACTGTTACAGTCAGATGCTTCAAACTTGACCAATACTCCAGGAATCTGCTCCTGCACAACAAGACTGTGAGGTTACAATGGCAGCACCACCCCTTCCCAGCTACAAATCAGAAAATCTAGTGCAGGCAAGTTGAGATGTTTTGTTCCTTTGCTGCTGGCCATTACAGTTGATTCCCTGATAACAAGCTGCACCATTTAACATTAAATATTGCATAATAGGAACAATTGTGTACTTACGCAGCAGGGACTAAATAATTACAGGAGCAATTTTGTGCATGCTGCTTTGGTGAAAACAGCTTCTGCTCGTTACTTTGCTTTTGAAAGGAAAAAATCCCAGCGAGTAAAGACAAAATGTTACCCTAAACGTTAAATGTTTCTGGATACAGCTAAAGAACGATTAGAGCGGAGACTGAGATGAGCTCTTAGACACAAGTTCTCTCCTGTGAGAGTGCTGAGGCACTGAGGCACAGGGTGCCCAGAGAAGCTGTGACTGCCCCATCCCTGGCAGTGTTCAAGGCCAGGCTGGACTGGGCTTGGAGCAAGCTGCTCTACTGGAAGGTGTCCCTGCCCGTGGCAGGGGGTTGGAACTGGAGGAGGCTCTGAGGTCCTTTCCAACACAAACCAGTCTGGGGTTCTTTTTCCTTTACACTGAGCTGCTCTCCTTATCTGTACCCTACAGTTTCTCCTTTCTAAACCACTGACTCCTTCAAGCCATCTTGAAATGTTCTAGGGTGGAAGATGGAGTAACTCAGATCAAATATGCATTGCCACAGAACCCATGTTTCCTGAAGTACTCCAACAGCCGTGAATACACTGCTGTCATTTCTTTTTCATGGCAGCTCTGGAAGAGGACAACCCAGGAGTCCTGGATGCTTCACACACAACATGCTCCCTGAGCACGAGTAGCTCTCTGATAAATCTACTAATTGGGCGTCAAGTTGTCTCTGTAACTGCAAAACTCGCTGTTCCCAGATACTTTTGTTCCAGGGTTTGTGTTCCAAATACTAGAGAGCCAAATATTTAATTTAGCTAACATAGTCCAGCCTGAAATCAGAGAATTCGGACCACTGTTTCAACAGCTTTTATTTAATTTCCTCTTCAGTGCTTTACATTATTAAACGGCTCTTTCATTGTACGGAACCAATGCCAGCTCTTTTCTTCTCAGAATGCAACAAGTGTGTATGCCAAGAGCAAAAAGCTAATTTATAAAATGTGTACTAAGGAATGGGATAGCTCAGGGAAAAAACAATCCCAGCCTGCTTTGCTTAAAGTATTGCAGCATCCCTCAGCTCCTTGCTTTGAATATCAAACAGATAATTTATTACTTTACAGCAACGTGGGTTTATTTTTTACGTTGAATCTAATTTGACTTACTGTCTCGTTTGTTTTTCAGGCACAACTTGAAAGCATCATTGCACCAAATAAGTAGATTTTGTTCTTATCCTCCAGGCAGCATTCAGAAGAGCTGTCAGAGCAAGAAGTTTGCAATTAGTAACAAAGAGTTGTCTTCGTAAAACAAGCTTGAATTTTCACTTACCGGTAACTGAAGGCAGCACAATTGTGTTCTGTCCTTCTTTGTCTCTTGAAGAGTTGAATTTCAAGGGCTTCATTAATTACTGCACCCTTTTTCAATGCTGTCTCAGCATTCAGCTCTTTGAACAGCAAGCATGGCTGGGACTTTGTACATGCAAGCATCTTTGTAACATTATTACTTTGAAAATGTCATATAAAGTACGGGAAACCATATACAAAGCATCTACAATAAATCTAAGTCCCATTCACCACGAATCAGTCAGGTCATTCTTGGGCAGGGTGTTTGAGGGGTTGTTTCCTTGAGTAGGCGCATGTTGGTGTTAATTGTACATCAAAATCCCCTACCAGTACCATTAGCAGTAACTAGGATGAGAAATACATGGTTATTTCTAATGAAACAAAGGGGTACACCACCATTCCAGGCACTGCTTCTCAATGGAAGCAAACGCAATCTTCACTCGAGGTACCTGTGTAACTAACTGGTTATACCCAGCAAACAGTCATGGGAAAGAGAACTTACTGTAATTACATGAAAAACCTCCATAAATCTGAATTTTTCCAGAAAAATCAAACAAACAAGACCAGCCACCACCACTAAATACCACTTCAGGAGCTGTTTTGCCAATGCAGTGTTTACTGGCCTCAGACGGGGATGTGGAAATACCAGGATCTCCAACTGCATAAAGGACTTTCAGATGATGCAGAAACAAAGAGCGAGATGCTACTCCTGGGAACGAGGCAGACAACTCAAACTGGGCTTTGAATGGGAAGTACAAGTTTCATATTAAAAAAAGCCACTGCATACTAGAGCTGTTTTATGTAAAATTTAATAGAATAAGCAATTATTGCTTATGTTTGGGTTTTTGGGGCTTTGATCTCTGTCCCTCCAAGCCAGTTTTTTTCTTGTTCTTATTCTTATTTTTCACGTTGTGAGTTTCATAATACCGGACTCCGACTTTCTTGGAGCGCTGCTGCCTCTCAGCTCGTCTTCTCTGCAAATACACACAAACCACATTAGCAAATACATACACACAAACCACATTAACAAATCCACAGTATCCATAGCCTGGATTCGTTTGCAGCTTTCAAATGTCATTCACTTCGCGTTCCACATACCTTAAATACAATCAATTCAAAGCAAACATTACTGATGTGAACATATGGACATCTACATGGAACCTACCCATGCTCTTAAACAAAGGAAGGTAACTTTAATCTTTACAAGAGCTGCTCTACAAGAAGCAATGTGATGTGCACAGGGTTGACAATTTGGCCATCTGCTCCCCTCTGACTGTCCTAACAGCCCATAGCAATGCCCTAAAAACCATTTACACACCATATAAGTTCACTTACAAATCCCTTTCAAAGTCCTGCAGACAATATCACTCAGTACGTAATTTATTTGAAATTAGTTTAGGTTTGACTAACATGAATGGAAACCAGCAGTGGCTTTCTCTGAAGACAGACCAGGACTGCTCATCTACTTCCAAATTCTCTCATCTCCCAGGATTTAGACCCTGCTCTCTTCACAGCACCAGTTAACACCGAAAGCAGGACCATTACTCACAAAGAAGTCTCCCCTTGAACACTCTTCCCATTGTGGTTACCTGCTGGACCCTTTTATGGGTCCTTGCTCAGCTGGAACATGCTCCTGCACATTGCATGTCAGCAGCAAGTCACCGTGTCTTCACATTCAACCAACCTCAGCATTGTGGTTTAACCAAACACCAAAACCAGCACACTCAGCTACAGTCCCTGAGCTCACTCCCTCCTACTAGTGTTCAGACTCAAAGCCCTTATGTGGTAATGGTCAATCTATGTACACAAAAAGCCAGCTCTAGCACTCTACACATTTGTTGTACTACAAGAAAACACACTTACTTCTTTGGATGTGAGTTTCTTGCATGGCTGTTTACCCAAATCATCATCTTCCTCTTCTGCTTTCCTTTTTCTTGTCTTCTCTGTGGTGCCTGCAAACAGCAGAGATCACTATTGGGGCACCTTCCAAAACACCAATCTGCTTGCAGAACTTAAGACTAGGGTCATCATTCCATCTACTTCAGCAAAGCATTCCTTTGGTCGTATTTCAACAGCTTCTATGCAAACAGCATGCAAGTTCCTCACCAGAAAATCACTCACTAGTACTATGAAACTGCCCCTGAGACTGCTTAAAGCCCCATGCAAGTCCAGAAGAACTTCACAGTCCTGGCACAATAGGGTTCTCCCACGTAATTTTTGCCTTTAATCAAACTTACGATGGAAACTGAAGCCACAGACTCTTGAAGTCACCACAGTAAATCCTATAGCCTGGAGTATTGCTGTGCTTTTATAACACCATAAACCCCTTCCACTCCCTTCTGTGTAACATTACACCATGGGGAACACAAGCTCCCCATAGCACCATTCTTTTGGAAATGCAACATTTGTCTCCACCTTCGTTCTCTAACAGAGGTTGTTCTACAGACAAGTCTTCTACAGAAAGGCTACAGCAAAGGTCATCAGGGAGCCCTTAAGGTAGCTATGGAAAGATTTAACTAGCTTTAGGGAACCAAACTTGCAATCAGAGGCTAACAAACGCTTCTCCCCCTAACTCACTCTCTTCTCATGCTTACAGCATTTCCAAAGGTAGATTAAGAACATCTACTGATCTTGATTTACCTCTGTCTTCAGTTTCTTTGGGTTCTTCAGGCTTCTGCATGGACTTTGCAAACACTTTTTCACTCAGCTGCTTCGGGATTCTGCAAGAGAGAAAATAAGCAATGAAAGAATGTTGTAACACAGAATGAAACCACCTCCAAGATGTGATCAGTCTGCAGTGGATCCCAGCAGCAAAGAAACAGCCATAGCACCTAAAAACCATCTCACGGTAATCTTGTCTCTGGAGTTAGTGAGCTTGTGTGCTGCACAAAGGGACAAAATGTAACACTTAACCTTGACATCTCAATCCTCACAATGAGCTTCACTAAAACTGGGCCTGCTGGAAGAGCGAGGACAGAGGCATGTGCACGGAGACCTAGCTGGTGTATTCAGGTAGGACAGCAGCTCTGCTATTGCTCAGGGAAGAACCCAACATCAAGGAGAGATCCAATGCTGCTACCCAGAAAACCAACAGATTTCTAATCCATAGCGTAAGTAGCAGCTTTCCAGGAGAGAGAGCACTTTGTCACGCTGCTAAATAGGACTTCTCTGAACAATCTTTCAAAACCAAACTGCTGCTTAGGCAAAGTTCAGATTTTTAAGGCTAAACTAGATTAAGCTGTGGCAGCTTGTGTAGGGCAACACAGCAGAACCAGCCAAGCAAGTCATGAATGGAGAGAAACTACAGCAGCATCACATTAACCCTTCCCCCCCCCCCCGTGAAATAGGCAAGTCACTGAACAGATTCATATACCTGATTGCTGAGAATCTCTTGGCTTTGGCTTTATCCAGAAATCTTTTGTATTTTGCTATCTTCTCATCCAAAGCCTTAAGAACTGCTTTAGAGCTCTCCTTGGCACCTGGTACAGCCACCTGTGATTCCTCCTCTACTAAGTCTTGATGCTGCTCATTTTCCTCTTTCTCCTCTTCCTGCTCCTCCTCTCCAGAAGAATCATTGTCTGTTTCAAAGCCTGGCACATCTACAGGAACCAGGTCTTCTTCTGAGAACTGAGGTGCCACATTAATCCTCCCAAAGTTCTGCCGAACATGGGACATGAGCTGCTTGATTTCAGTGTCTGTATTATTTTTCTCTTCTGCTGCCTCCACACTTGATTCTAGGGACTCAGAGATTTTCTCCTCATTATTATCTTGGCTTGATGTCACAGCTGCTGCCAATGCAGAAGGCTGGAAAGAAAGCATACAATGGATATATTGTTCACAAAGTCTGGCCCAGCATCCCTTACAGGGATTTCCACTTTATCTCTTTGAAAGATGACAAGCTAACTATGTGATAATTGCTGACATTACTGGCAGTGAGGTGGTGTAAAATGATCAGACATCTCTGCAAAGAGCATTCTTGCCTGGTCCTCAAATTCAAGTGTCACCTGAATCACCAGACTGGGCAGAGCCCAAGCCATGCACTGCCCAAATCACATGGCACTCCACGAGGCAAAACAAGTATGTGAGAAGAGGCACAAGCATCACATTCTAACCTGGGGACCTGTTTCTGCATTCGGTGGCTTCACAAAGAAGGGAATTCTGCCCCTCTGCCAGTCATTAAGAACCATCTTGCTCACAGTCTGCAGGTCAGGCTCACCACCCTGGAAAGAAAACAGTAACAACTGATGTCCATGTTTGCAGGGCATACTGCCTTTCTATTACGTGGAAATAATGGAAATATTCCTATTTCCCTTGGTCAGGAACAGGCCACATGCTCTTCCAGCCTGCAAATACACAACGTTGTCACACCTTTAGCAGTTTTCCAGTCCTAGAAGCAAGTTTCTCAAGGAAATCTTCTGTATCATTCCAGGAATCAATTTTGTACGTCTTTCTGATGTACTCCGGTTTGGCTCTTTCCAGCACGGCACTAATGTGATCTTCAGGGCTCTTAATCTTTTCGACTTGAACCTGAAAATGAATGGTGGAATATCAACCCTTTGGAAAGTGTGCATTCATTTTGAACACATCACACTGACACCAGCAAGGATTTGCCAGCATTTTGCACAGACACATACCACTCCCTTCAGCACAATGTCTGTTTCTGTGTCTCCAGATGGATAAACCACACCGGGGCAGTCGATGAGGAAAATTCGCCGCATCAAGGTAATGTATTGCCACACCTGAAAGAGATCAGTAGTTCCCCATGTTACCTCCTTCCACACTCTGCTTTTTAAATGCATGTTTTTAATACACAGGACTTAGGAACTTGGTATTAACACACAGAAATAGAATATAACTCTGTAAGCTAGTCAAGGCACATCCCACCTTGCTCCTTCTGTTTCAAAGCCATTCCTGTGGTGTTTGCATCCAACTATTAACCCACAGGAATAAGGTGAGGAAACTAAGATCACAACAAACTCTGATATTCCATGGTTTTCTACTTCTACAATCCTTAACTTGTGACATTTAGGGGTAAAAGGAACAAGCTAGCAAAGGA